TCCTGCGTGCTTTATAACAGAACAGAGCACAGTCAAGGCCTCTCTATTTGTTAAGTAGTAGTGGCAGCAGTAGCAGCAGCAGCAATAGTACGTAGTGGTAGTGCTAGTAATAGTAGTAGTAGCGGCTATATGCTTTGTCTAAAAACATGACTCGCTATCCACTTTCTCGAAAAAAACCCGGTAAACACGAGCCGCTTTTAATTTTTTTTTGTATTGAGCAAACCACATGCAAATGATGTCAACCAGAACGAGCAAAGGAGCCCGTCACGAAACGTCGCTTTCGACAAAAATGTACCTCTTATTGTAAAGAACACAAACTATCTTATCAAAAACTGAGGATTTCAGTAACTGGAAGCGGTCTATGTCCAGAAAATCGAACCTTTGTATCTGGTCTCCAGTCTTACAACTTTCGGTGTCAAATGCTCCAAAAAAACCTTAAGAAACTTCTCCTACCTTGACCCTAAGAGTGAACACCGTTAATTGCATGAATTCCTGTTCTTAACTTTGCACATATATGAAGTTAAAATGTGGCTCACCTGCACAAACCGTTCGGACTCAAGTAAAGAAACGCACTACCGAAATAATCAGACCAGAATCAACATTAGTTATGCAAATAATATACCTACAGTGTTGTTTTTTTTTACTTCATTAGCATCTGTCAGCATTCGTGCGTATCCATGAAAGTCATTCGATGACAGCTCACTTCATTTGGAGATGTGTATGAGTTAAAATAACAAATTCTTTTTAGTTCAATGAAACACTAAATGGCATGATTTGAACGTAGACGTTTCTGAAACGCAATCTGTATTTGCAATATTGGCCAGTCTTAGATGGATATCAGATTAGATAACCACGTGACTTCACAAAATGGCGACCATTTTTTAAAACTATTTACGGCGAAAAAAAAATTACCACTGCCTCCATGTAATAACGCGAGGGGGTAAAATTTCCGCAACAGCCCCATACACATCATGCATTCAGTTCTTGGATAGAGAAAACAATGACAAAAACAACACATCGCCATCGGGACAACAGATTTGTTTTACAATAGCATATCGTTTGTCGTTGAATTGAAAACGTTAGCCAAGACATTTAATTTTTGCGACTGTTTCCGGAACAGTTTGATGGTGATCGTATTGTTCTCGGAATTAAGAACGAGCAGGCTACGATCTTACGTTCCCGAACTCATTAATTATTCATGAGGTTATCTGCCAATGAGGGAAAAGTATTTCGTCACATGCATGAATCTAGATATTTGATAAAAACGCATATCCAGTGATCTGGATATACGTTTTTATTAGATATCTAGATTTATGCATGGCATGAAATGCAAACAAGAAAAACTACACCAACGGTTGATTTGGAGACACTACTTTAGCAGCTTACTTTCATCTTCACCGCTTTTTGGGACACGAAAACGGTTAACTACATTACTTTCTGTCATAATCAAGCTCCGGCTAACCACGGAGCTATAAACTAAATGAGCAAAACTACCATAAATTGAGCATACACTTTGAATTCCTATATTTTATATATTTTTCCGATATTTCACAGAAAACCTCACGTAGCACCTTTCCCTCCGTAGCGTAATTCAGAACAAATACCTTTGGACTGAAGAAAACAGACAAGATGTGCTCCTTGAACACATAATGGAAGTATAAAAATCAAGACCTGGGGTTCAAATAACACCTTTTTATTATATACTCAACAAAATATCGCGTTTCTGATTGGTCAATGATGAAT